GCCGCGAGTGACCTTGGTCATGCAACGCACGGCTTTGATTGTTGAATTAAATAAAGAGAATAGCAATTTCTACATTCATGTATATCCCCCTTTAAGCAAAATTTTCCAGAAATGCTCTACACCAAAGCCAAGATAGAATGCCTATTTTAAAAGTCCACTCTGCCATGCCTGTGCTAATGTAACACACATTCTATGAGGAAGCTGGAAGGGGCTCATTTGTTTAGCAAAAAAACCTCTTTCCCAAAGTCTGTCTTCAAGAAAGCGGTGATGGTAACATAGTAAAATATCAAATCCCAGAATCAGGTGCTGAGAACCCACAATGGTGGAGTAAAAGCAACCAAGCACAGGCCTCCTTTTCCTTTCAGCTTCTGCACAAATCGCGTCGTTCCTCTTAGCACCATTGCTATGCTCATGGAGGGCTCCTCACTTTCTATTGCCAGGGTTCCTTGGAAACTTAAAACAGTCAATAATAGTAAACCACCTTTTTAGCTCTTAAGGGATGAATACATGAGACTATCTCATGACTACCCCTGAATGAAGACAGTGCCTCTCTCTGAGGCCGCTGAGCCATCACAGTGTGGACCACATTTTACAAGGGCTCCCACCACACACTCAACAAGCTGTGCCGGTAACTGAAAGTACATGCACTAAGCTCTGTATTTTATATTGTATTCCAGCTCATGAAAAAGAAACATGCCGGCCTTGTGCCACTAAATGGACTTCACAGCCTTTCCTGATTGTTCAGATCTGCAGTCTGAAACACACTTTATCAGAGCACATGCTTCGAGGTCAGATTCCACCGGGAATCCTGGAGGCAACTCTTACCAGTAGTTTTCTCAGGAGAATGCCTTAACCCACACGAGCCCGTGTTGTCTTCTGCAAAGCTGGAATATGGTCCAGAGCGAGAGATTGTTGCACTAATTCCGTAAGAATGCAGGGAGTACACAGTAGTCAGTATATGAAGGGTGGTTTTTATTAAGAGAGATAAAATGCAACAAGAAGTGGAGATGCTATACTAGGGAATTCTGGTGGTCCACAGGCAAACAAGGTCCAGTAACCACCTGTGGGCATTACTCTCCTTACTCCTTCTGTAGCCCACTCTGGAGCCCAGTCAGGTATGAATCTGTGGATGCCAGGATTGGATTGTTGCTGCCTCCATCCTCCCAAAGTGTGGTCATATCCAGTGTACACTTCTTTGGGCAGGTCTCAAAGCAAGTCCAGAAATCCATAGGAACACCCACTTGACCTGAAACACTTCTGACCCACCGTCACCTTCACTGAGAGTGGCAGTGGTTCCCAGACTTAGGTGGGTACCAGAGAAGCCTGAGAAAGTTGATACACATTGAGATTCTGAGACCAACTGGAGTTATTGGTTCTGAATTATCGGGAACAAGACTTTGAAATGTATACATAAAATTGTTTAAAAAAAAACACCTCAGGTCCCAAATGGCGCCATTCATGCTAAAAGGCCAAGATAACAAACCTAGATTGAATACTTAATCTAACTGCAATTTCAGTGTCTCCCATAAATATAAACCTAATTAACTGGTATGGAATTTTCTGGTCAAGTACCAGTAAGGTAATCTGTCACATGGGCTCTTTTCATAGGAAGAAGAGGTAACCTACATGATAGAAAACCCTTCCATTCTCTTTCCCCAAAGAAAAGATGTGCAGGCCCAAGAGTAATCCTTTCTTTTTTGTTTTAAGAACTGCCTTGCCCTACAATTCTTGTAAAATCTCGCCATTTTATACAACTCCTTGAAGAGCCCATCTAGTGGATAGATGGGATGCTGCCCAATTCCTGGATCACATAATAAAGCCAATTAAATCTCCTAAATTACTCAGTTTAGGTTTGTTTTTTAACAGCATACATGCTCACACACTGCACACTCACCACGGTAGGTAGTGCTGAGACGGCCACCTTAATTCACAGCAACAGGAAAGTGGAGCTTTTATAATGTTACTCGTACTTCATCATTAAAAAGTGTCAAATAGCCCTGGCCGGTTTGGCTCAGCGGTTAGAGCGTTGGCCTGCGGTCCTGAGAGACCCGGGTTCGGTTCCCGCTAAGGGCACGTACCTCGGTTGCAGTTTGTCCCCGGCCCTGGTCGGTTGTGTGGGTGGCAGCCACTCGATGTGTCCCTTTCACATCGATGTTTCTCTCTCTCTCTCTGTTCCTCTCTCTCCCTCCCACTCTACCTGAACAAAAAATGGAAAAATGTCCTCGGGTGAGGATAAAAAAAAAAAAAAAAAAAAAAGTGTCAAATAAGTGCTTGATTTCATAGTGGCAGATCCTCAATGTCTTCTTCACTCCATCAAATAGTCTTATTTATAGAAAAATGCTCTGCAGTTGCGGTTCATCCCAGGCCCCAGTTGGGGTTGTGTGGGTGGCAACCAGTCGATGTGTCTCTCTCACATAGATGTTTCTCTCTTTCTCTCTCCTCCTCCCTCTCTCACCTCCCACTCTACTAAAGATAAATGCAAAAATGCCCTCGGGTGAGGATAAAAAAAAAAAGAAAGAAAAAAGAAAAAAAAAAGAAAAGCGCTCTGTAACATAGGAGATGGGCCTAGGTGAATTGAAAGATTCCACAATTTGGAGAGTTTAAGTATCTCCAAGTCAGAAGTAGTAAAAAATACACTGAGTAAAATGAAGCCATTTACAGGACTGGTTTTTTCCATAGAAAATAAGATAATCTATTGTTCTGGATCAAATGCCCATAAATCAGTTTCCCTACTTTGATGGTCATCAACTGGTCTGTTTTGGAACCTTATCCTCTTCCTTTTTGGGGGATAGGGGGGACAAACTACAACCAAGTACCTTTAGTGGGAACTGAACCCAGGACTCTCTGGTCTACGGGCTGACGTGCTAACCACTGAGCAAAACCGGCCAGGGCTCCCTTTTTTATGTTAATGTGTACCACAGGGCATATTTATTGTTCACTTGCATGAGCTAATAACATTGAAAATATTTACACATTAAGGTTTTTATTTACTTATTTTAGTTAATCCTCACCCAAGAATATTTTTCCACTGATCATTTTAGATAGTGGAAGGGAGGGAGGGGGAGAGAGAGGGAGAGAGAGAGAGAGAGAGAGAGAGAAACATTGATGTGAGAGAGACACATCAACTGGTTGCCTCCCACATGACCAACACCCATTGGGGCCAGATATTGAACCTGCAACCCAGGTACATGTCCTTGACCAGGAATCAAACCCAAGACCCTACGGTCGGCAGGCCGACATTCTAACCACCGAGCCAAACTGGGTAGGGCATACGTTAAGGATTTTAACAATTGATAATTTACATCTCTTTATACCCAATTCAGCATTAATCAACACAAAACGATTTTGAAACATCTCATTAATGTTACATCAAAGATTTGTATTCTTGTTTTCATTACAATTTGACCCTAAAAGTGGACCAAAAGAACTCAGCAAGACTGCAGATAGATTCCTCAAAGTGCACCTCCACTTCCAGTGACTTTTATGGACACCATTTATAGGGTCTGTTGTGTGTGAACATATGTGGCAATTAAAGTAAAAATTAACGTGATGTCCAAAACCATGTCACAACCAGCCACCACACCCACAGAATAGTATATCACTTTTGGCACTGGCCAAAATTATATTTTATCTCTCAATAACATGGCTTGCAGTTTCTAAAGACAAGTCCACCCAGTTCATTGTACTGGAAAAATTCCTTTAGTTGGGTTTTCATTGCCAACTGCATCTTTGTTGATTGGATAACCTCAACAAGCCCTTTCTCTCAGAGACGTTGCAAAAAACATCTTCAGAGGGCAATGGCTTGAGTTCCATAGACCCTCAAAGCTCTGCTTCTGAGATGGAAGTTTGAACTTACAGTTAAGCTGCACATGTAACTTGTTTTCTTCTCCATGGAGATCTGGGATGCATGACTGAGGCATATTTGCTGTGTGGACTAGTCATTCATCCACTATTCAGTAATAACACCACCTGGGTTTCTCTCACAATGGGAATAGATGTCTTATAACCTACACTTCTGATTCATTTCCCATTATGACCAATGCTTGAATTTCAATCTTAACTACTGTGATACAGTTTGACCCTAAAGCATGGGCTGAAAGAACTCAGCAAGACTACAGACATTCCTCAAGCTGCACTTCCACTTCCAGTGACTTTATGGACCTCATCTGGGGGTTACTTGAAAATTAATCCTTTCCTGCTTCTGTGCAGTCTATGTTTTGGCCCACTCTTCCTTCCCAATATCCTGCGTTCAAAGTACCTAAACTCATGAAGCAGTTGTCCAGAGGAAGAGAACCAACAGCCCCGCCCCCAACCCTTGGGAGCAGAAAGGAAAAGAAATCTTCTAAGGAACTGTTTAAAACTCCGGGTGCTGCACACAGAAATAAAACCATGGCTGCATACACTACTGTCCCGGGGCTCCAAAATTTAACCCCTAATGGGCAATAATTTGTTTGGCTTTTAAGTAATCCAGTTTGATGAACTCAAATGCCCTCGGCTCAATAGGCAGGACTCTCCGAGGAGCCTGTGTTACTTCCCTCACTTAAGCGCAGATTTGTAATAAAAATCATAATTCCTGTGTCATGGTTTTTGGACATATAAGAAACTAAGCACTTGGACAATCATACTTGAGAGGTTAGAAAACTGCACAGTTAAACATCGGTTTATAATTTACGAAGAAAATACAAAGTTTTGTTTCTCAGAGTTAAAATCTGACGAGCACGGCGGGAAATATTGCTAGTTTTTGGCATAAAGTGCTGTGGTTTCCTCATAATTTGAGACCTGGGTGAAGCCTGAGACTTCGAGGATCGCTTTCTGAGCAAAATCGGGCAATTCGGTGCAGGAAATTTTGATATTTTTGGCATTTTTCGAGGTGTAACAAACACAACTCGGGATCCGAGAGGACACTCTGTAGCTGCCAGCGAGGCGGGCTGGACAGCGCACCAATCACGGCGCAGCTCCGCCCTATATAAGCGCGCGGGCGCAGCGGCGCGGCCCGAGTCCCGACCAGTGTCTCTCTTCCGGCTCGAGTTCTCTCCCCACGCCTGCTTGCACCATGTCCGAGACTGCGCCCGCCGCGCCCGCCGCCCCGGCCCCAGCCGAGAAAGCGCCTGTGAAGAAGAAGGCCCGCAAGTCCACCGGTGCCGCCAAGCGCAAGGCGTCCGGGCCGCCGGTGTCCGAGCTCATCACCAAGGCCGTGGCCGCCTCCAAGGAGCGCAGCGGCGTGTCCCTGGCCGCGCTCAAGAAGGCGCTGGCGGCCGCGGGCTACGACGTGGACAAGAACAACAGCCGCATCAAGCTGGGTCTCAAGAGCCTGGTGAGCAAGGGCACCCTGGTGCAGACCAAGGGCACCGGCGCTTCCGGCTCCTTTAAGCTCAACAAGAAGGCGGCTTCCGGGGAGGCCAAGCCCAAAGCCAAGAAGGCGGGCGCGGCCAAGCCCAAGAAGGCTGCTGGGGCGGCCAAGAAGTCCAAGAAGGCCGCGGGATCAGCCACCCCCAAGAAGAGCGTCAAGAAGACCCCGAAGAAGGCGAAGAAGCCGGCGTCGGTTGCCGGAGCCAAAAAGGCAAAGAGCCCGAAAAAGGCGAAAGCAGCCAAGCCCAAGAAGGTGCCGAAGAGTCCAGCGAAGGCCAAAGCGGTGAAAGCCAAGGCGGCTAAGCCAAAGACGGCCAAGCCCAAGGCAGCCAAGCCAAAGAAGGCGGCCAAGAAGAAGTAAGAAGTTCCTTTGGCCAACTGTTAGAAATACAACACAACCCAAAGGCTCTTTTCAGAGCCACCCACAGTTCTTAGGAAAAGAGCTGTTGCACTCTCGGCAAGCGTAGCTGCAGGTCTGTGGGAAGGGAGGGGCGGCCTCTATTTCACCCTTTTTAGGGGGTGGAGCTAGAAATACTGCTCCTTACGATATGTACTACTGCGATTTAACTGCTGAGATTCAAGTTTCACCTACGCTACAACACTTCGTGAAAGTAGTAACTCATTTCCAACACTATATGCTTTAAGACTTTGGAGAGTAATAAAAATTCAGGAAACCTAGATTGACATGTTAAAATTAAATCACAATTTGACATACATGGTTGTGAATGCAGAAAATACGCCCAAGTATTTAAATTAAATCGGTGATGATAGATCACAGGGAGTACCTAACGAACGTTGCTGAGTTCCAGGTGGTTTCGCCTAGTTGAGTGCTGGTGTACTTGGGGTAATGCGCTTCTCTGCCAGGTTCAGCATCCGGGATATAAACCCGGACATGAGGTGTCACACTGGTGCAGACCCTACTAGAGTCGATGCTCGGTGGTGTACTAGGGAAATGACATTGGCGCATGACCAAAAAGTTTCATATGCTCTCAAGTACACAGAACAGTGCTTGAAGGGGCTTCTATAGTAGCTCTATGTAGCATAGTCTAGGCCCTCTGATTGGGTGAAGCGAAGTAATAAAGTAACCAATGAAAATGTACTACGAAAAGTTTACATTCTGATATGTGACGACTCACTACAATTAATCCAATCAGGATCGAAATCTTACTAGCCTAATTTGAATACAGCATCTATAAATATTCGTGGTAGCACTGGGTAATGATTTTGTTAGGTGGTAGTACTAGTGTGATATTTGTTGCTGCTATGCCTGAGCCCACGAAGTCCGCCCCCGCCCCGAAGAAGGGCTCCAAGAAGGCGGTGACCAAGGCGCAGAAGAAGGATGGCAAGAAGCGCAAGCGCAGCCGCAAGGAGAGCTACTCGGTGTACGTGTACAAGGTGCTGAAGCAGGTGCACCCCGACACCGGCATCTCGTCCAAGGCCATGGGCATCATGAACTCGTTCGTCAACGACATCTTCGAGCGCATCGCGGGCGAGGCGTCGCGCCTGGCGCATTACAACAAGCGCTCGACCATCACGTCCCGGGAGATCCAGACGGCCGTGCGCCTGCTGCTGCCCGGGGAGCTGGCCAAGCACGCCGTGTCCGAGGGCACCAAGGCCGTCACCAAGTACACCAGCTCCAAGTAGACTCGCAAGTAAGCGGCTTGACGCCTAACCCCAAAGGCTCTTTTCAGAGCCATGCATTATTTCAACAAATGAGTTGTGATCCTTTCACTCATAGCCTTTTCCCTGGTTTCTCATAACAAAATTTAAAGTTACACTATCATTTTGTTCTGTTAGGGCGGCGTAAGAAGTACTTGCAAGTTAATCCAGCAGTAATAATAGCTACCACAAACTGAATGCTTGTGGAAAGTACAGTGGTATGATTAAATATTAACTAATTCCAAGTGTGCAGCTCTCATTTCCGTGTGCTGGTCTGCAAATGGATCCTGGTACATTGTATAGGAATTTGGTGATGACTGCTAACCGAGAGCACAGCAGAACATTTTGTGACAAATTAATATCCTCTAAATAGTCCTTTCCACTTTTTAAACCATATGGACAACTGTTCCTGGAAAAAAAGGGGGGGGGTGGGGCCTCAAAACATGTTTTCAGGAAATATACAGGGGCTATGCTGGTCTGCGGGAGGTTCTGAGCCGCAAGTGGGGGCGGGAGAGGAGGAGCCTGTGCTGTATCCGAAAGGCACAGAGTGAGAGGAAATGGAACCAGTCTTGGAGACGCCTTCAAAGCCTGTCAATTGCTATACCGTCTCCCAGACAATCCTATTTAATTTATAGTCTTTTGGCGGCATTCAGGTGGCGAACTGGCACCTAATAAACACCTTTCATTTTTTCAATTAGGGCAGAGATGAATGCAGAGAAGAAAACAATGCAAACAGTAACTGAAAATGTGAATCATCCCATAGAAGTTATGAAATAACGAAAAATCTGATCTACCTGAGAATATGATCTACCTGAGAATATAATTAGTGTTTATCCCACACAAATCCAGCCCATCCTGATTTCTGCATACTAATTCATCAAAAGATCATTACCTGAGTGGAGGAGCCCAAACAAGGTGTTTTAGCTTTCTCATTTTATTTTTTGTTTCAATTATAAAAAATGGAATTTACTTGTTAGCCTACCTACTGGGAATTCATTATTTCCCACGGACTACCTTTGTTTAGAGAAGTCTGAATGAGAGGATGCCAAGACGTCTGTAAATGAGATGTTATGATTAATAAAATTTGTGGAGAACTAGAATTCTGCATTCGTTTTTAATTCAAATCTTTCTTCTAACATATCCCTTTTCTAAACACACTATTGTTCACTTATCTTCTGGTATTAAGGTTTGAGTAGGTAAAGGCTAAGCACTATTCTGGCTTTGGTAACGATCTTAAAGAGAAACATTTTTTACCAAGCTGACATTGGAGATGTCACCTCCGGCATCTGAACACAATACTTGGAAGCAGTCTCAAACTTGAGTGTGCATCAAATCATGAATTGTTAAAATCCACCCCACAGTTTCTGAATCACTAGATCGAAGGTAGGATCCGGTTATTTGCATTTTTCTGTTATACAGGTGGTGCCGATGCAACTGGGCCGGAGATCACACTGGGAGTCCTATGCTTCCCTGAAATGCTATTACTAAATAGCCACACAAATCAGAAATATCACTGAGATTTAAGCTGGCAGTGAGAAGTCCTTGAAATTGGCAGTGGCCATCCTCCCCGCAGTGAGGTCACCAGAGGTGGAGAAGAAATTGCGCCTCGCCCCGCTCGGTTCCCTCCATTTCCCCAATTCCCACGCCCCTCCTCCGACTCTACGTAGACACGCCCCTCCACCGTCTATACTTACTCACGCCCCTCCGCCGTCTTACGTGCCCACGTCCCTCCTCCGACTCTACGTACACACACCCCTCCGCCGTGTGTACGTACCCACGCCCCTAGGTGCGTGTTTCTTCATTGGCCCAGTCTCCTGGCCTCACGTCCCTCTTCGTCCTAACAGGGGCGTATGTTACGCCCCTCCACCCCACCAACCCCACTGAGTCGCCCATGCGTACTTCTGCCGGTTGCCTGCCATCTGCTGGTGCGCAGACCCTGGGGCCCGGCCTCTCTCGTTGGTTTTCCCCTGGACACCCGGGGAGTACGAGCTGTCTTCTGGATCATTCATAGATAAAAGCAGAAAGCCGAGCAGTGACGACCGAGAAGCAGGGCACAGCCCTCCACAATTTGCTTTCCCCTCTCCCAGCTGTTTTCTGAGCTGAAGGCTGAAGACACGACTCATGAATGCCCAGACGCCTTGCGGGCGCCGCCCCTGTTCACTATCATCACACGTGTAGGGCACTTGGAATGAGGACTAAGGGTGTGCGTGTGTGTATGTGTGTGGATTATTATTTCCTACTTGGATAACTTATAAATTCTATTTTCGGGACCGACAGTTACTTTTATTCATTCATTCATTCATTCATTCATTCATTTTGCAGACACATGCCCAGTGCTTTCCACAGGTTAACTTGTAATTCTCATAACACATCTATGAACTATTATTATCCCAGTTTTACCCACAGATCTACTGAATCTCCCAAAGCTTAAAATAATGTGCCCAATATCAAATAGTTAATAAATGGAAGAGGGGAGTCTGACCAAGGCTCTGTTTAGCTTCAGGGTCCTTCAACGGGTGTGGAACCTTTTTTCTGCCAAGGACCATTTAGATATTCATAACATAATTTTAGGGTCACATAAAATAAACAACTTAAAAATTAGCCTGCTATATTTGGTCAAACATTTAATTAACTCACCCCTAATATGCTTCTCTTTGGTGAGGCTGTGATGTCAGCTGGTATTGATTTCCAAGGCCTTATATGGCCCAAAGGCCAGAAGGTCCCCACCCCTGATTAGTACTCTAACCAATTAATCCAAATAACATAGGGTATCATTTATATCGAACTCCAGCCAGGTTCCTCTGAGCCCTCTTGTAAGCTTGGCCTACAAAGACTTGAACAAACACTAACATAGCTTCTAACAGCACAAGGCTGTATCTCACTCAGGGTAACGCTAGCCCCTCTTAAAATGTCTACCCCAAGTCAAGACCCACCTATTTCAATTTCTTTTTTTCTTTTTTTTCATAGGGGTGAGGTAGGAGGAGAGAGATCATCTTGACTACTTTTGCTCATCAACATGAATTTTCAATGCTTTCACAAAAATGCATCTGAGTTTTGTAGCATAACATTGACTTTTTAGGTTATTTTCCAATTTATGAACATTTTGGCACATTGAATCATCACAAAACATAAACTCTGTATAGCTATCTGTTAATTCAAGTGAATCTTATTTTGTATCCTTCAATGACATTTCATAGTTTTATTTATATAGCTCTGGAATATTTTTTTCTTGGTCTTAGAATCCTTAGAATCTCTTGTACTATTGAAAATGGTGTCTGGTTTTTCTATTTCAATTCCAGATAGGTCACTGAAAATATCATAGAAAAGCCTTGGTGCTCATATGTCCACCAACCCTGCTGAGCTTTATGAGATTTAATTGTGTATAGATACTCACGGATTTTTACAATGACATATTTTCAAGCAATAAACATAACATCTTGTCTTATTGAATCCTGATCCTTACACTTCTTGCCTTGGTCTAATGATATTGGCCATGCCCTTGGTGCCATGTTGAACAGGGGTAGTACCACAGAAGTAGAACTTTAGTCTTTCTTTTTGACTTTTGGGGACTCTTTCCAAAATTCATCATTGACTATTATGCTCACTGTAGCTACTGTTTATGAAGCAGCTACTCCTTCTCATTCTAGTCTGTTGAAAATTATATGATAAATAAATAAATAAAAGCATGGACAGGGACAACAGTGTGGTGATTGGGGGAATGAAGGGAATGGGTGGTGGAATAGGGTACAGGTGGATACATGGTGATGAAACTATAAAATAAACACAATCAATGAAAACAAAATAAAAAAAAGTATACAATGAAAGTATTATCTTCTAGCAAATACTTTTCCAGTATCTATGAAGATGACCATATAGTTTGTCTCTACTAATAATATCTTTCACTGGAAGATTTATGATGTTAAACTTTTCTTCCATTCTTGGAATAAACCCTACATGTATACTATTATTTTTAAAACAATGTGCCCTCTTGGTTTCTATTTGCTTGTTTTTTAAATAGGGTTTTATAATGAATATTCATAAGACAAGATTATAATTTTCTCGCTTGTCTTTTCTTTTGTTTCTATGTAGTTTAATGAGATTATACATTTTCAAAGAAAAAAAAGGAAGCGACCTATTATTTTTATTGAAACACCTCCTGTTAAATAGGGATTATCAATTCCTTAAACTAAAACCTGTAAAATCCAACAATGCTTGGTATCATTTGGGTTGAAGCATATAGGAAAGATTTTTTTGAACTATCCCATTTCCTTGTAATACTAACTTTTAAATATTTTTTCTTGAAAATTATCCTTTAATGTTAAGTTTAATGTTTGGTACATTTGTCCCTAATATTCTCGTGGTTCTTAATCTCTTCCTTTTTAAATAGCTGCTTTCCCTACTTTGTATATGTGTGTTCTCTAGGGGTTTATTTTTGCCTTCATAAAGCACTAGGTGGCGCTACAAACCCGCAGCAATTTTTAATTTCAAGAAGCATTCTCTGAAGCCAAATACTCCAAGTAGGTCTATGGTTAAACCCTTGGGGCAAATTTCCCATACCCTCCTCCACAGAGCCCTGCGCAGACAACCAGTTTTTCTCTTTTGAAATCTTAAAAAAAAATTTCTTTCCCTCTACCATATGCTTTCTCAAAAGACCCTGGCTTTATGCTAGGTGTCTTCAGTAGAAGCCAAGGGCCCTGTTCCCCTAGGGGCATACTTGAGTTAACCAAGTTTGGAATTTTGAAAATGAAATTTGCCCTAAGGAACCCAGTCTTTTGTATTCTTCACTGAGGTTTCAACTCCTAGGTTTTTATTGTTCTGGGAGATTTCTGGCGGTTTCTTGTTATCTAGTCACTGAGGTGCTAATTTAGTTCTGTAGTTTAGCTGGTCCTTAAATATTTCACTTCAGGAAGACTTTCCAGAATAGTATCTTGTTCTCTACATTAGAAATAAAAGTCCTAACGTGTCTTTCTCTAGCCCTACTGACACGTTTAGCTTTGAAATGTGTCTGATATTAACATTACTATACTTGCTGTCTACTGGTAAACATTCCCCAGGCGCATTTACACCTCATTCTTATTTTTCATTATTTTTTAAATCCACGCATGTTATTTCAGACTCAAATAAGAGTAGCACTTCCTAATGCACATTTGTAATACACGTGTTCTTTTGCCTTATAAAAGTAAACATCATACAAAGATAAAATATTGCACATATTCCAAAATTCCAACATAATACTTTCTGAGAAAGGCAAATTGATACCCCAGCCCCCGACCAATCAAGAACTCGGGAGACCCCGGGCGACCAATCAAAGACAACCACGTCTCCTCGGCTGAACGACCACCCTCCCCCAGCCCTAAATTTAAAAATCCCTAGTTGTGCCCTGGCCAGTTTGGTTCAGCGGTTAGAACTCGACCTGCAGGTTGTAGAGTCCCAGGTTCAGTTCCCTGTAGGGGCGCATGCCTCGGTTGCAGTTTGTCCCCAGCGCCTGTTGGGGTCGTGTGGGTGGCAGCCACTCGATGTGTCTCTCTCATGTTGATGTTTCTCTCTCTCTCCTCCTTCTCTCTTGCCCAGTCTATCTGAAAAAAAAAAAAAAAATCCCTAGCAAGCCGGTTGCTACTCTCTCCTTAGATACCTCTACCGTCCGGCAGGCTGATTGATTCCCAATAAACCTGCACTTCTGGAGACCCTGCACCGCCTCGTTCCACCTCGTTCTTACAATGATCATTTCCACAACTGGGATTCAGAATCTCCCCCTGGACAAGCAATTTCCACGTATCCAACTTACTTTTTTTTTTTTAATCCTCACCTGAGGACATTTTTCCACTTTTTGTTAAGGTAGAGTGGGAGGGAGAGAGAGGAAGAAAGAGAAACATAGATGTGAAAGCGACACATGGAGTGGTTGCCACCTGCACGACCCAAGCAGGGCCGGGGACAAACTACAACCGAGGTACGTGCCCTTAGCGGGAACTGAACCTGGGTCTCTCTGGGCTACAGGCCAACGGTCTAACCGCTGAGCCAAACCGGCCAGGGCCCAACTTACATTTTATGAATAATTCTTATAGTTCAGTAATTTTGTTTCAGATTAAAGTAAAACCAAGTG